CTTTTATCTGAGGCATGACGGCCTCTGGTTGTTGTTTAAAAAATGGCCAGTACCAATCGTTTATGCTATATCTTTTACAATCGGTAGCGTCCCAGTCGGACACCAATAATTCGGTAACATAACCGTGTATTTCAGAAATGGATTTATTAGGTGCAGCGTCGTATGACGTGCCCTCCCCGTCATTATTTTTTAAATCTTCCAAATAGTAAGATCTCAGCAATCCTGTGTACAAGTGGAATTGCCACAACGAGCCGATTTCTACACCGTATGAATTGTATAATATAGCTAACGCTCCTTTACCATCGCTGTCAACAACTAAGTCCAGCATTGAAACTAGTGGTTCGTTCTGAAATGGAAACGACATCCTGGTCACTCTCATGTGTGTCAGTGCTTTAAGCAAACAGTGGCATCTAAACAGTTTAGGTTCGGTAACGTCCCTCGCAGTGTATTGCATGGGTCGACTTGGCCCTGATCGACAAATCTGTACAGCCAAACTGAAAACGATTACTGTTAGCAGTTTTAAGTGCTGCATTTTATAACAAAATGTTGTAAAAAATAAAAAAACACCGGTTGTAAACTTAAGTTAATTGCGAATTCGAAAGCACGGCTATTGGAAAACTACTTGAAAATGCTAGTCGCTTACAAATTCTAGTTTTTTCGCACCAAGAATAATAATTTTACACCATTTAATGTTTGAACAGCCCGTGTTAGTGTCAACAAAAAATTCAAGTATGAATTTCATGTAACGCGGCATTGTGTTATTCAACGATATTTAGACAAATCCAACCGTATAAGTATTTTCAAAAGTAAAAATCGTACGTGTTCAAAAATTGTTGGCTTTGTTACTGAAAAAATAAAGCGGCCACGACCAAACCGTCACAAAGAAGGGACTAGGTTTTTATTTAATATTATGTTCCAAGTTTTTTCCAATGCTGCTATCTGTTAACGTTATATTTAATAATCTAGATTTATACATTTATTTAGCTTTTAGTTTTATAATTGATACTTTTTGGGTTATGGCTAATTGATAGTTAGATGTCGACAAAAACACTGCAATAGCACAGACAAATAAAAACCGAGTGATCCGTGGAAATTACTCACAATAGTTATGTGTAAACATCTTATAACGGGTTCTACCTGAAATAAAATTTAAAAAGAGCAGAACTTATGATGTGCATGATCATTATTGAGATACGATTAATATTATTTTATATATTTTATATTATCGGTTTATGTCTTATGATAACTATAATACGATACATAAACACGATACATTTTTTTAACTTGTTATATCATCACTGTTTATTCAAATTTCAATTATAATTTTTTATTAAATAATTACCTAATCATTTTTTGTTACGGGTTATAAAATGTACATTATAAATATTATATTAAGTATATTACCTAATACTAATTTTCTATTCTATTTTACTTATTTATTTTATTTAATTAAAATAACAACATTGTATTGATATAGATTGAAGCCCGTCTTATGAAAAATACAAAGGTTACAAAATCACAACATTATACTTTGATGTTAAAGTAAAATTAATTAATTATTTCAATCATTTTTTTTATCGTAACAAAAACTAAGAAGTTTTTTTTATGAACTTCTTTTAATGATAATTGGCAACTTTTTTAAAATCAAAATAACATTTAATTAAATTGCCCTCAATGCAAACCTTACAAGTATAAGTCCAGATTTAGCCTGTTTAAATTGTTTAAGTTAATTTACTTTTTCGTGCAGATTGGTTTTGATACATTAAGTATTTCTAACTTTATTGTAAGTTTTTTATCGACATATTAATGTATCTACATTGATATATAGTTGATCTTATGTTTTACGTTTAACTATGTGGCTTAATACATTCTGAATTAAAGTACATTAAATTAATTTCATTGACTCATTACTAGTTTATTTAAATTTTAATTGGTTTACTCTAATCGAATGTGTGTACTAACAGCTTATCATATAACAGTATTTATATGATGTATGTTTATTCTTCTTTATTATGTTATTATATAGATCTTTATTTAAGACCTACGGGATCGACTAGGATTCCTGTATTCGTTTCTACAATAACGCGAATCTCCCCTCCAAAAAAAAAAAAATCATGGTGATCTAACTTACGTAAGACACTCATTTTCTCAGAAAATATGATTATTTTGAGAATTTTTTTTTCCTAAACTTTTAAGTACATATTTTTCTAAAACAAGTATCGCATTTGTTTTTTTAAATGGGAACATATGTTTTCAATTTCATTAATCTGTAGACAAATCTTTTAATACAATTTTAGCGTTTGAATTTCTAATTTTCACCAATCGGTTCCCTACTTATTACGTCAACATTATTTTCCAGAGACCATTTTTTCTGTTATCCACTTGTTCCAAAATGGAAAAATAATAGATTGGAAAAAGTGGTTATTGGGTCGTTAGTTTATACACTTATAACAATATTTCCCAATTTTAAAATATCCTATAGAAAATATATTCGTTGGAAAAAGTAGATGTGTAAGGCTTATGTGTCTTTTCGATATTTTTATACTTTGGAAAATTAGATAATTAGTAATATAACTTTTATAACAATTTATCTATTGTCGTTTTTTCCATTTGAATAATTTACTGATTTTTTAGATTACTTATCTCATGTTTGATTTCATTTTGAAATCATTTTTTTGCGAATTCATAGTCATAAACACGGGCGGATGTACGCTTCTCGCCGTGGGCTTTAAAGCTTCGGCACTCACTAAATCCTAAATTTAACTGCTAATTATTATATAGCCATAGCCGTCCAAAATTCACACTTATTCATTCATTAGTTCATTTTAATCATATTTCATATTGCATATAACAGAAAACAGTTAGACTTAAGTTTTTTAATATTTAATGTTCGGTAATGTTTAAAATAATGTTTAAACCAACATTATTTTAATTATTTCAAATCATTTTTTTATCGTAACAAAAACTAAGAAGTTTTTTTTATGAACTTCTTTTAATGATATTTGGCAACTTTTTTAAAATCAAAATAACATTTAATTAAATTGCCCTCAATGCAAACCTTACAAGTATGAGTCCAGATTTAGCCTGTTTAAATTGTTTAAGTTAATTTACTTTTTCGTGCAGATTGGTTTTGATACATTAAGTATTTCTAACTTTATTGTAAGTTTTTATATCGACGTATTAACAGTGGCGGCTATCCTATACTAAAGGTGTATCCGTCGATACACCTTTAAAATTGGGTGGATGGTCATGGTGAATGAGTGACTTGTATAAAGTCATACAATTATAGAATTAAATAATATTATATTTGTGTTATGAATGTGTACTGTGCATATTAAGGACTAATAGTCCTTAGAATTTTGGGTTAGGAAGGGTGGGTGGTTTATGGCTTTAAAATTGATACACCATTATTTTGCAAGATAGCCGCCACTGCATATTAATGTATCTACATTAATATACAGTTGATCTTATGTTTTACGTTTAACTATGTGGCTTAATACATTCTGAATTAAAGTACATTAAATTAATTTCATGGACTCAATATTAGTTTATTTAAATTTTAATTGGTTTACTCTTATTGAATGTGTGTGCTAACAGCTTACATACATTGATGTATTGTCAATTGTGTTTATAAATTCTCTAATTGTGATGATGAAAACTAGTAAACTTAATGATTTCATAAATAAAACCTTGTTCCTATAAGTGATAATGAAAATGTTGTAATCATATTTTTGATATTTTACATTGTTGCCGCCATCGGCTTGTGCTCAATATGAACACAAGTGCCTTAACGGCTGTAAAATAGGCAATTTTATGTGCTCCGTGTAGCCTATCTTAAACGCCTTTAATAAACAAAAAAAGAACCAAAGAATGTAATTTTTGTTAGGTTGAAGTCAAAAACGAAGCAGAAGTACAAATAATAATTTTTATTGTTCACACGGTCTTTTTTATAAATTTTGTATGCATAAATAAAGAAAAAATAAGAAGTAAATTCAAATAAGTCACAGGTTTGATTACCAAATAATTGAATAAAGAATATTTAATAATAAAGGTGCCGATTAGACCGTTACAATTTTTTAAATGGTACGGCGCTTGGCCAATATACAATATAACTAACTAAATACACAAATAAATAAATATTATATACCTTTCATTATATGCACAGTATTAGCTTGGTTCTACCCACGCGACCACTCTGAGGCCTGTAAGTTATATGGACTACAATTTTTGGGGTGAACGTGTGACATTAGCAGTGTAGCGACTATATACTGTGCATACCTGGTTTCTCGGTGAAGAACATTTACAATAAGTCACTGGAAAAGACAACAAAATCCACAGCAACAAAAAAACACCAACACTGCACACCGTGCTGAACCTAAAATAATCAAACAACGGTAATCTAGGTTAGGCGCAACAAGTGGCTGTAGCATGGCCAAAGACGTTGGACAAACACAAACAAACAAAACAAGAGCGCTTAGATTTATTTTAAACGTATTGGCGCGAACACACCTAATATTATATCCTGGCTACTGAAGATTTAAAATTTTACATTCATATTCAATAAACATTATAATATATAACTCTGATGTGGAAAAAAAACTAACCATTGCTTATATAATACAATATTCAAGTATAACTTAATGGTATATTTTGACGATTAATTGACTAGCGTATTTACTTGTTCGCAATAAATAGGACTGACAACCAAGCCAGACGTCAGCAAACACTGTTCTGCCTGGAACTTTTTACCTTATTGACCAATACATACTGTCGGGTATCTTTACTATGTAAATAGATAACACTGTTCTATACCACATTGAACTTTAGCACCGTTTGTTTTCTATTACCATGTCTTAAAACTATATCTTAAAAATAAGGTGAAATGATGATAAAACAAAAATAACTGAATTAAAATATTTTTACTGGGCATTTAAGAGTGACAATTTTTTAAAATTTATTTATTGTATTTTAATTGTTTCAAAATAATCTTGTTTTTACAATATATTAAATAATAAGTAAGAGTGACAATAAAATGTATGAAAAACATGTTTATACTATAATGATGACAAGCATCTATCTTCTTGCGAATCTACTTTCTTACGAGAACTCTACTTCTAATCCTTTTTTACTAACAATCTTGTAGTGTTCATCAATGTATTCCGCGAGTGATCGAATGACGCTAAAGTTAGTTTTTTTTAAGATTAGTAGTTTTAGATCTTCTAAGAATTGATTTGCTTTTTTCTGAGTAATGAGCTCCTCCAGTCCATGTCCAGAACTTGTTGCGGTTTGCAAACCACTTTTTATTGTTTCCTGGTTGAAGGCCTTCGGTTTAACCGCATTGGGTTTTAATGACAGAACGCAACTGTGTAGTATATTTTCTAAATCATATATCACAGCACCTACAGCTACTTTAAGACCTGGATTGGCGAGCTGGTCAAAAGCAGTAAACAAATGCTGGATGGCCGGATCGTCTGCGATATGTAACATCCGTCCGAAATTTGTTAGCAACGTATACCATTTTCTTGCGTATTGCTTCATTGAAGAGTCTTCTAGTTTTTCAATAACCAACAGGTGCACCAACGTTATTCGGAAAAATATGATTTCCAAAAAATTAATATGCTTAGTGAAGTATGATTTGAGGTTTTGAAGATGATCTTCGGGCCATGTCACTTTAATGGCGAGGTTGAAGGACGATTTAAGTATGTCGTCGAAATCAACCCAATCAAACTTGAACGTGGGATCAACGTGGAAGTCCACGTTGTATGAATTCATCAATGAGTTTTTGAACACTGTTATATTGCCCAATTCGTTCAATAATAGATTTTTAATACTCAATGATTCGCTCAGTTCTTTGATTAATTGTTTCATGTAAGTGTTCAACAATCCCTTTTTCGCTTCTACAAGATTTCTGAATTCTTGGTTATTTTTTTCTACTCTTTCTTTTATCTGAGGCATGACGGCCTCTCGATTTCTTTTAAAAAATGGCCAGTACCAATCGTTTATGCTATATCTTTTACAATCGCTAGCGTCCCAGTCGGATACCAATAATTCAGTAACATAACCGTGTATTTCAGAAATGGATTTATTAGGTGCAGCGTCGTATGACGTGCCCTCCCCGTCTTTTTTTTTTAAATCTTCCAAATAGTAAGATCTTAGCAATCCTGTGTACAAGTGGAATTGCCACAACGAGCCGATTTCTACACCGTATGAACTGTATAATATAGATAACGCTTCACTAGCATCGCTGTCAACAACTATGTCCAAAATTGAAACTACCGGTTCCTCCCTCAATCGAAACGACATCCTGGTCACTCTCATGTGTGTCAGTGCTTTAAGCAAACAGTGGCATCTAAACATTCTAGGGTTGTCAACGGCACTCGCAGTGTATTGCTTGGGTCGATCTGGCATGGATCGACAAATCTGTACAGCCAAACTCAAAACGATTACTGTTAGCAATTTTAAGTGCTGCATTTTAAAAACAAAATGTTGTAAAAACTAAGAAAACACCGGTTGTAAACTTAAGTTAATCGCAATTCAAAAGCACGTAGATTGAAGAACTATTTGGAAATGCTAGTCGCTTGCAAATTGTTTTGTTCTTTCGCATCAGCAACAATAATTTTGCTCCATTTTATGTTTGAACAGCCCGTGTTAGTGTCAACAAAAAATTCAAGTATGAATTTAATGTAACGCGCCAATGTGTTATTCAACGATATTTAAACAAATCCAATTGTATACGTATTTTCAAAACTAAAAATCGTACGTGTTAAACAATTGTTGTTGGCTTTGTTACTGAAAAAATAAAGCTGCCACGACCAAACCACAGTAACATAAAAAAACACCAACACTGCACAACCGTGCTGAACCTAAAATAATCAAACAACGGTAATCTAGGTTAGGCGCAACAAGTGGCTGTAGCGTGGCCAAAGACGTTGGATAAACACAAACAAACCAAACAAGCGCGCTTAGATTTTTTTAAACGTATTGGCGCGAAAACACCTAATATTATTTCCCGGCTACTGAAGATTTTAAATTTTACATTCATATTCAATAAACATTATAATATATTACTCTGATGTGGAATAAAAAAAATAACCATTGCTTATATAATAGAATATTCAAGTATAAAACTTAATGATATATTTTGACGATTAATTGACTAGCATATTTACTTGTTCGCAATAAATAGGACTGACAACCAAGCCAGACGTCAGCAAACACTGTTCTGCCTGGAACTTTTTACCTTGTTGATCAATCCATACCATCGGGTATCTTTACTATGTAAAAAGAATAACACTATTCTATACCATGTATAAAACTATATCTTAAAAATAAGGTTAAATGATGATCAAACAAAAATAACTGAATTAAAATTTTTTTATTGGGCATTTAAGAGTGACAATTTTTAAAAATGTTTTTATTAAATTTTAATTGTTTCAACATAATCTTGTTCTTACAATATATTAAATAATAAGTAAGAGTGACAATAAAATGTATGAAAAACATGTTTATATTATAATGATGACAAGCATCTTCTTGCGAATCTACCTTCTTACGAGAAATCTACTTCTAATCCTTTTTTACTAACAATCTTGTAGTGTTCATCAATGTATTCCACGAGTGATCGAATGACGCTAAAGTTTGTTTTTTTTAAGATTAGTAGTTTTAGATCGTCCAAGAATTGATTTGCTTTTTTCTGAGTAATGAGCTCCTCCAGCCCATGTTTAGAATTTGTTGCGGTTTGCAAACTACTTTTTATTGTTTTCTGGTTGATGGCCTTCGGTTTAACAGCATTGGGTTTTAATAACAGAACGCAACTGTGTAGTATATTTTCTAAATCATATATCACAGCACCTACACCTACTTTTTGACCTGGATTGGCGAGCTGGTCGAAAGCAGTTAACAAATGCTGGATGGCCGTATCGTCTGCGATATGTAACATCTGCCCGAAATATGTTAGCAACGTATGCCATTTTCGTGCGTAGTGCTTCATTGGACCGGCTTCTAGTTTTTCAATAACCAACAGGTGCACCAACGTTATTCGGAAAAATATGATTTCCAAAAAATTAATATGCTTAGTGAAGTATGATTTGAGGTTTTGAAGATGATCTTCGGGCCATGTCACTTTAATGGCGAGGTTGAAGGACGATTTAAGTATGTCGTCGAAATCAACCCAATCAAACTTGAACGTGGGATCAACGTGGAAGTCCACGTTGTATGAATTCATCAATGAGTTTTTGTACACTGTTATATTGCCCAATTCGTTCAATAATAGATTTTTAATACTCAATGATTCGCTCAATTCTTTGGTCAATTGTTTCATGTATGTGTTCAACAATCCCTTTTTCGCTTCTACAAGATTTCTGAATTCTTGGTTATTTTTTTCTACTCTTTCTTTTATCTGAGGCATGACGGCCTCTCGAGTTTCTTTAAAAAATGGCCAGAACCAATCGTTTATTGTATATTTTTTGCAATCGGTAGCATCCCAGTCGGACACCAATAGTTCGGTAACATAACCATGTATTTCAGAAATGTTTTTATTAGGTGCAGCATCGTATGACGTGCCCTCCCCGTCTTTTTTTTTTAAATCTTCCAAATAGTAAGATCTCAGCAATCCTGTGTACAAGTGGAATTGCCACAACGAGCCGATTTCTACACCGTATGAACTGTATAATATAGATAACGCTTCACTAGCATCGCTGTCAACAACTATGTCCAAAATTGAAACTACCGGTTCCTCCCTCAATCGAAACGACATCCTGGTCACTCTCATGTGTGTCAGTGCTTTAAGCAAACAGTGGCATCTAAACATTGTAGGGTTGTCAACGGCACTCGCAGTGTATTGCTTGGATCGATCTGGCATGGATCGACAAATCTGTACAGCCAAACTCAAAACGATTACTGTTAGCAATTTTAAGTGCTGCATTTTATAACAAAATGTTGTAAAAACTAAGAAAACACCGGTTGTAAACTTAAGTTAATCGCAATTCAAAAGCACGTAGATTGAAGAACTACTTGGAAATGCTAGTCGCTAGCAAATTGTTTTGTTCTTTCGCATCAGCAACAATAATTTTGCACCATTTTATGTTTGAACAGCCCGTGTAAGTGACAACGAAAAATTCAAGTATGAATTTAATGTAACGCGCCAATGTGTTATTCAACGATATTTAAACAAATCCAATCGTATACGTATTTTCAAAACTAAAAATCGTACGTGTTAAACAATTGTTGTTGGCTTTGTTACTGAAAAAATAAAGCGGCCACGACCAAACCACAGCAACACAAAAAAACACCAACACTGCACAACCGTGCTGAACCTAAAATAATCAAAGAACGGTTATCTAGGTTAGGCGCAACAAGTGGCCGTAGCGTGGCCAAAGACGTTGGATAAACACAAACAAACCAAACAAGCGTGCTTAAATTTTTTTTAAACGTATTGGCGCGAAAACACCTAATATTATTTCCCGGCTACTGAAGATTTTAAATTTTACATTCATATTCAATAAACATTATAATATATTACTCTGATGTGGAATAAAAAAACTAACCATTGCTTATATAATAGAATATTCAAGTACAAAACTTAATGATATATTTTGACGATTAATTGACTAGCATATTTACTTGTTCGCAATAAATAGGACTGACAACCAAGCCAGACGTCAGCAAACACTGTTCTGCCTGGAACTTTTTACCTTGTTGATCAATCCATACCATCGGGTATCTTTACTATGTAAAAAGAATAACACTATTCTATACCATGTCTTAAAACTATATCTTAAAAATAAGGTTAAATGATGATCAAACAAAAATAACTGAATTAAAATTTTTTTATTGGGCATTTTAGAGTGACAATTTTTTTAAATTAATTTATTATATTTTAATTGTTTCAACATAATCTTGTTTTTACAATATAATAATTAATAAGTAAGAGTGACAATAAAATGTATGAAAAACATGTTTATATTATAACGACGACAAGCATCTATCTTCTCGCGAATCTACCTTATTACGAGTACGATGAAGACGGTTCTTCTAACACTTTTCTTTTAACAGTCTCGTCGAGTTCATCAATGTATTCCACGAGTGATCGTACGACGCCAAAGTTAACTCTTTTGAATATTAGTTCCACCTCACTCAAGAATCTATTCGTTTTTTTCTGAGTAATGAGTTCCACCAGTTTATGTTCAGAACTTGTTGCGGTTAGCAAACCCTTTTTTACTGTTGTCTGGTCCATTGGATTAGTCGCATTGCGTTTAAATGACACAACGCAATTGTGTAGTAATTTGTTTAAATCATCTATCACAGCACCTACACCTAGATCTGGATTGGCGAGCTTGTCGAAAACAGTTAACAAATGCTTGATGACCGGATCGTCTTCGATATGTAACATCTGTCCGAAATATGTTAGCAACGTATGCCATTTTCGCGCGTAGTGCTTCATTGGACCGGTTTCTAGTTTTTCAATCAACAACAGGTGCACCAACGTAAATCGTAGAAAGATGATTTTCAAAAAATTAATATGCTTAGTAAGGTATGATTTGAGGTTTTGAAGATGATCTTCGGGCCATGTCACGTTAATCGCTAGTTTCCAGGACGATGTAAGAATGTCGGCGAAGTCATGCCATTCAAATTGGGGGATCGACGTGGAATCAACGTGGACGTTGTATGAATTCATCAATGCTTTTTTGACCAATGTGTTATCGCCCAATTCGTTCAATAATAGATATTTAATATTGAATGATTCGCTCAATTCCTCGACCACCTGTCGGGTGTTTGTGTTCATCAATTTCTTTTTTGTTTTTACAAGATTTCTGAATTCACGGTTATTTTGCTCTACGTTTTCTTCTATCTCGGAGAATAAGGCGTCTCGATGTTTGTCAAACCATGGCAAGAACCAATCGTCTAAACGATATGTGGGACAATCGGTAGCGTTCCAGTCGGACAACATTAAGTCGATAACATAACTATGTACTTCAGAAATGTTTCTATCAAGACCAGCTTCGTGTGACCTGCCCCTTCCGCTTTTATTTTTTAAATCTTTGACATAGTAAGATCTCAACAATCCTGTGTACAATTGGAATAGCCACAACGAGCCGATTTTTACACCGTTTAATTTGTATAATATAGATAACGCATCATTACCATCGCTGTCCACAACTATGTCCAGAATTGAAGCTGCCGAAACCTTCTTCAATCCAAACAACATCCAGGTCAATCTCATATGTGTCAGTGCTTTAAGCAAACAGTTACATCTAAACCGTGTAGGGTTGGTTAAGTCCTCAGGAACGTAAGGCATGGATCGACAAATCTGTCCAGCAAAACTCAAAACGATTACTGTTAGCAATTTTAAGTGCCGCATTTTATAACAAAATGTTGTAAAATAAAATAAGAAAACACTGCGAATTCGAAAGCACGACGATTGGAAAACTACTTGAAAATGCTAGTCGCTTACAAGTTCTAGTTGTTTCGCACCAAGAATAATAATTTTATACCATTAAATGTTTGAACAGTCCGTGTTAGTGTCAACAAAAAAATGAAATATTAATTTTATGTAACGCGGCATTGTGTTATTCAACGATATTTAGTCAAATCCAACCGTATACGTATTTTCAAAAATAAAAACCATACGTGTAAAAAAATTGTTGGTTTTGTAGTTCAGACTTGGTCTTTTTAAATTGTTAATATTAATTTATTTTAAAACATTAAATATTCCTAACTCTATTCTAAGTTTCCATATCGACACATTTATGTATCTATATTGATATGCATTTGTTGTTGTTATACATTTTACTGTATGACTTAATACTTTTTGAACCAAATTACATTAAATTAATTTCATTGACTCATTGTTAGTTTATTTAAATTTTTTAATAAGTTTACTATTATCGAATGTGTGTACTAACTACTAACAGCTTATCATATAACAATACTTCTATAATTTATGTTTGTTAAAACTATAACCTTCATAGGGTTCTATCGCTGGATAGTTTCCCTACCCTTAATCTTCAAGTCACATATTTACATTTTTAACATATTTGCTTATTGTATACTTTTTTTTATGTACAGATTGTAAATGTTTTTTTTAAAAAATCAATAAAAAAAAAAAAAAAAAAACTATAACCTATACTTTATAAGATTCGACACATGAATCGAGCATCACTTTGTGAAATAAATTGTGAAAGCTTGTAACTAATGCCATTTTTTGCACTTGGCCACGGTATCTAATTTAAACGCGTTCTCGAAACAATAAGATTGTTTCTATAAGAGCAAACTCGGTTACCGTGAAAATAGTTTAATTTCTCATAAATAATATGTTAATCGTGCAACCGTGTACCGTGTGTGTGTGTGTGTGTGTGTAAATCCCAAAGCTTAGAACACTAAAACGTTTGGTTCGCTTTTAACGCATTAGCAGTGTTTTTAATACCTCTTAAACATTGTCTACCATACTGAGTGCAGTGTATACAGATTTCCATTTACCCCCATAGAGATGGATAATTTTTCGGACGTTCGTTTAGCACTTATTTTATTTGAGTAGTAAAAAAAAAAAATGTACTTTGAAAAGATACCTACACTCTCCGTGTGCAAACTAAACAATGCATAATAGAACAGGATTAAGTTTTCTCGAGCACCACTTTAGTGCCAGTGTATAGTGTTACCTACGCTTTTAACTCATGATCTCTTCCGATTTATGTCGCCGTGTTTGTGAATATTTTCGAAAAGGGCAAGACGAGTGCTCAACACGTACGAATTCATATAAGATATCGTGTTAAACGCGTTTTGACAGAGACGACGAGCCTAAGGATAATATTGTATACTATTATGTGTATAACCGTTTTAGGATGTCGTGTCGTCATCTGGCAATATGAACGTTTACATTATCATCATGTCGTCAACTCACAGATGATTGAAAAATAAGTACTTTTACCTTTTTTCTGCCGTTTCAAATGAACAAAACATGTGTTGCCGGTTACATAGGTACCTACATTTATTAAGTTATAATATTGAAAGTTTATAAAAAATAAACTTGAACAAGTACACCATCGTTATGTTTTAATAATTATTATTACTAAAATCGTTTCGAATAAACGCGATGGGAATTAGGAACGGCGACTGATAAATGACATGGCAGTGAAAATAATGGTTGAAAATCGCCAAAGATAAATAAGGGCAAATCATATTTTTTTTGCAATGTTTCTCCCACGCAAATGTCTATACCCTGCACGTGGGCTTCGGCCGAACTTGAGATGCTGAACACAATATTAACAACAAGAAAAATTAGTATCTCGAAGGCATTATCAATTATATTAAACGGTAAATGCCTTGAACAGAACAAAATAGTGCATTTTATCAAGATGTTTTTTTTGTTGTTGTAAATTCTATATGCTATTTATGCACAATAATGGTATGCCATAGATTTTTTTTTCGAAAGTAAATTATTAGAATTGCTATTCTCTACAATGATAATCCCAAAAACCAAATATTTTATCCGCGCCTGATTTTCTTACTAGACACTTTTCAAAAGGAACGTTAACGACCAAATATCTACACAAACAAGCTTTATAATACGGAATTATGATTATGTGCATATAATATATATATATACCAATCATTTGAAATACGGGGTGCCTCACGATTCTTAACCCATTGCAATAAAGTCTTTGTAGTCCTAACGATTTTTAAAAAGAGAGTGAAACAGAAGGAAGGGATGGAAAGGGGAAGTAAAGTGTTGACGGGAGGGGGGGTTATAAAATCTAAAAACAAAGAAATACAGCTGATCATAAGATACAGGTATGTATGATACAATCATGTCATGGAAGAAAAATTGATTTCATTTGCACCGTTAATTTTTTTACTCTTTTTACCCAACCAGCTTTTTAACCATATAAAAATAATAGTAATTTAGTTATAAGTTAGGTATTTCATTTTTTAATTTGAATAAACTAGTTAACTTATTAACAAAAATATAATATATAATATGAACATTGAAAATACATTTTACATCATATACTTCTAAAAAAAAAAATTACCAAAACTAAGCCCAAGTTACATTAATCAACAAGTCATTAATCTTTCAAGGACAACAATGAATACCTTTATGAGTATAAATAAAATGAACAAAACCCAAATAAAATTAACACCAGTACTATAATGCACGTATACTTTTATAAATTAACTCTTTTTTTTGAAGGTATATTCCCTACAGGTAGGGGTATATTTCCGAAATGAGGCGTCTACTTTTAAAACCAGCAAAGATA